CGGACGCCCGAGGAGTTTCGACAAGTTGGGATGAAGCTATTCGTGCGCACTTGTATGCAACTTTCGGTTTAGAACAGCGAAGGCTGTAATGCTTGTATCTCACCTGTTCTTGTTTTCCTCACTTTTATCTCTCTGTTTGACCTCTCGCTGGAGCCATGATGGCTCTACGGCCCGCTGTGGGCCCCACTAAGCGCTTCAGGTGTGTAAAGGGCAGGAGCCCCTCATATTCTTCAGGTGACGTTCTTCCACGGGTAGTTTCCCCGTCTAATTCGTTGATTACTTCACATGTGACGTTGAGCATGCGCCTCTTGTCACACGGCGGGTTGAACATGCGTATTTCGGACTGGTTTGATGTGAATAAGAGTTTGTGCTCACTCACGCCTTGCATGTTTGGATACGTCCGCTCCTTGCTCCGACTAGGCTGGAAAGCCTGCACAGTCGACCGCAAAGTCCGCAAAAAACCAGGTTGACGGTTTACCGCCGGCGCCCAGTCCGGGTTTTGGACGCTTACAAGTGGTGCGCGAAGCGCGGCAGAGCTTCGGCAGAGCTTCGCCTGTGCTCGCAGGCTCCTAGGCAGAGGTGTCGTGGTAGGTTTCACAGAGCCCCGCGCGTCGTAAAAGACGCTCTCGCAGGCGTCTCCTGCGAGGTTTCCAGCATCGTTCCAGGGAGCCTGGCAGAGGTCGCCGTGCGGCGCTTTGGAGCGCTCTGCGCTCCGCGCCTTGCCTCGCTATATCTCGTAGAGTTTCTCGACATCGATGAGCTAGAGGAATTTGGGCGCGGGGTGCAGCTAGTTGGGCGACCCGACCCGGACGAACAATGTGGTAACCTGGGAGCGGTTTTTGGAAGATACCGAGAGATTTTGAAATTTGTTTTGCAAATTTTAATTTTTATTCTATGCAGTGAATCATGGCGCTTTTGATGGTGGAATTCTTAGGGCTCTAGCTACATTATATCGATCAAAAGACTGCGGGGAACCAGTATTGTGTACGACGAAAAAACAAGATTTCTTCATTTTTGGAGCTGGTATTCAGAAGCGTTTTGCGATGTGTTCGGAGAAGCGCTCTGCAACAAAAGACCCGGCGGTAACCTGGTTGACGGTTTACAGCCGGTTCTCAGTGACAGCTACAGAGGCGATACTTAGAGAAGCCGACTCAGAATCATGAGTCGCGTTTGTCTATTCAATCCAGAGCTCTGAACTCGGTCTGCTGCCTGATCTAGAATTGCAAAACTCTTCCTGTTGTTCGAGTCATCTTGAGAGATGCTGTCGATTTTCTGTACTTAACTCGGGCTGTAGGGGAGCTGTAGTGCTGTTAGTCACATATCGATGCGAAAACATCAGGTGCGACTGTCGAATCTAAATCTCGGAACTCGGTCTGCTGCGCAAATCAGGTCGCGAAACTGTTCGTATTGTTCGATTCATTCTCAGAGGTACTGTTGGTTTTCTGCACATAAGTCGGACTCTAGGGGGGCTGCAGGGCTGGCAATTACAGGAAACGATTCGAAGACATGAAATGTTTCCAGCTGTCGCATTCACAGGACTATACTCTGTCTAACCCTCGAGCTATGTTTGCGAGACTATTCGTATTGTTCGAGCTATCTTGAGAGGTGATGTCGATTTTCGTACGTAACTCGGGCTGTAGTAGAGCTCCAGAGCTCGTACAGAGACTGGACGCCGCGGTGAACGATCAACCTTTCTGACCGTCGAGGGACTCGTATACTTTGTGAGAACATATAATGGGAAAAAAGAAATTGTTGAGAACGAATCTTTTTTCAGCTCAAGCGATTTCATTCAGACCTCTTGATGACAGCCGAACGCCCCCGATGCTTCTGGATTGTCTTCTATACGAGCTTCGTAGCCCCTCTACAGCCCGAGTAACACCCGTACATCGACAGCACCTCTTAAGATGAATCGAATAATACGAAAAGTTTGGCAAACCTAGCTCGAGTATTGGACCGATGTCAGACCTCTGAATGCGACAGGCGAACGCTTCTAATGTCGTCGAATCGATTCCTGTGATTACCAGTCTTGCAGCCCCTCGAGCCCGAGTTCAGTGCAGAAAACCGACAGCACCTCTTAGGATGACTCGAACAATAGGAATAGTTTTGCGGACTTAGTTCGGGCAGCAGACCGAGTTCCGAGCTCTGGATTCGAGAGGCGGACGCGCCTGATGTCTTTAAATCGATTCCTTTGACTGGAGCACTGTAGCCCCCCTACAGCCCGAGTTGAGCTCTCAAGCTGACTCGAACAATACAAATAGTTTCGCGATTCTAGATCGAGCAGCAGACCGAGTCAGAAATCTGCATTCAACAGACGAACGCGACTGACGATTCTGAATCGAGATCTGTAAGTATTCTGTAGCTGTCATATAGCTCGAGTTGAGTACAGAAAACCAAGAGTGACTGTCAAGATGACACGAATAATACGAATAGGTTTGCGGAGTTAGCTCGGCTAGAAGACCGAGTTTAGACCTCTGGATGCAACAGACGAACGCGCCTGATCATTCTGAATCGATTAGCTGTGCTTATCAGCTCCTTAGCTGGCCTACAGCTCGAGTTAAGTACAAAATACCGACAACGCGTATCAAGATGACTCGAAACGGCCGATCCCGCCTGGACGCTTTTTGGCAGTAAAAGGTACCCGATCGAGCTGAGATCAAAATGGCGAGCGGGAATAAGATCGAATATCACGGGAAAAAATACTAGAGCTCAAACGAATTGAGGAATTTCGAGACAAAGAAATGTCAACCGACCAAAAGTTAGGAAAATGTTTGTCGAGATTTTTCTTGCCAACTAGCTCTCCAGCGCCCCGGAATTACTCTTGAGCTTCCAGCAATAACATGCTAATGGAAGCTCTACGAGTTACAATCCAAAAGCATCGGGGGCGTTCGGCTGTTGCATCGAGAGGTCTGAAATCGCTTGGGTTGAAATCTATTCGTTCTCTGAATTTTTTTCGACATTATATTTTCTCAGGATGCTCTACGAGTCCCCGGCGGTAAGAAATGTTGACGGTTTACCGCCGGCGCCCAGTTGGTCGACCCGACCAGAAAAGACAATGTGGTAACTTTTGGCTGGTTTTGCGAAGATTTGAAAGATATTTGACAATTCATTTTGAGAAAGCAGATTTTTCGCACCTGTGGTGGGTTATGCCGTGTCTGCCAGTGAAATTCTCAGGTCCGAAGGTGCAGTATTACTATCAAAACACTTGGTGGAACCGACGTTGGATAAAAACAGAAAAACGTCATTTTTCGAGATTTTCGTTTCTCGCTCCAGAGGCTTTCTTCATGTCTTCCGACCATTGCTGTGCATGGAAAGAGCTCTGCGAGCTCTGCGAGGTTTGGCTCAAGAAAAAAACTCTACGAGGCTCTCAAGCTGTAGGACAGCTACAGAGCTGATGCTGACAGAAATACACACGTAACGTACATCTCTGAGTGCCGAACGGGTGATCTGTCGGCATTGGATTGATGAGTTGTTCTTGCGTGCCCCTTCCTTGTGCGGCAGCATGACAGCGCAATTTTGTTCGATGAGTTCTGTTTCGACCAGTTGGAAAAGAAAAACAAGGAGAATCTGGCGATTTGTAGACAAGCTGTATTTGATGTTATGCAGTTTAATGCTCGTGATCCATATTTTGTGGCTGATCCGAATACTTTCCCTGCGTTTGGCTGTTTTGATAACCTCGATGATTGTGCGCGAAACCCAAGCCCGTTTCAGGGGAACTCGGAGGAGCAGGTCAGTGTATTGTTGAGTTCCTTATCGGTGCCAACTGCTGGGCCAACTGATCGTGGAGAAGCTTTCTCGTCTCATTCGGTTGCGTTTTCTCCAGATGTGGTGCAGTCTCCAGATGGTGGGCTGCAGTCGAGACTGGGCTCTGTTCTTCTTGATCCTGGTGTTCAGAATGAGGAGTTGCAGGACGAGGAGTTGCAGGATGAGGATTTGCAGAGTGAGGAGGTGCTGAATGAGAAGTTGCATTATTCTCAGCATGCTGTTTTCTTGGATTCAAGCTCTGAAGTTTGCCGCACTCCATTTTCTGACACTCTGTCGGCTTCGGTTGACCCAGGTGTTCGGAAAGAGGAGTTGCATGATGAGGAGGCATGAAGAAGCCCCACGAGTCCCCGTAACCAGACGCCGTCTTGGTTACCGCCGGGTCGTACAGATAACTGTGCTTCTTCTCCCCGGCTCTGTTCAGATGAGTTGCAGAGCAATCGAGCTGAGTGTCGAGCTGCCAGGGACTGGGCCCGTGCCAATGACGATGCAGTTGCTCTTTGGCGGGAATTCGAACGGCTCCCGAAAGAGGAGTTTTGGGCTCGGATCGAGGCGCTCAACGCATACAAACTTCGAATGGGAATTGGGAGTCCCGAGGAGGCGCCGAGTCCTGAGGAGGATGCTGGCCGTGGGAAAGGCCAGAGGCACCGCAGAAACAGGAGGCGGGCAAGGGCGAAGGCTCAGGCAGTTCTAACTGGCTCTTCTATGTCAAAGTCGGCCCATCCATCTACTTGCGATCCTCCCCAACCTCCGTCCTCTTTTCACGATTCAGTTTCTTCCGCTCTACCCGCCCCAAGTGTGACCTTGTTGCCCGAAGGCGACAAGGGGGCGGAGGTGGATGAGTTGCATAACAATCAATCAGAGTGCGATGAGGACGCTGATTCGGATGCGGCCTTCCACGCATGGGATAAAATGGCCAACCAGCGAGTGAGGGTACATTTCTATTTGAAGAAGGCTGCTCTGCACCGTTTTTGCGAGGCTTTGCACCGTGATGGGGGGGAGGACGCGGACATCCAGAAAACCTGTGGGCAGTGTCGGTTGGACAAGATAAGGATGCACCGTATTGCAGGGTGGTGCTTCGGACATTGGCGGTGCTTGACATTCTACTCAAGTGGTGCTCAACGGTTGATGGAACAACGCTTGCAGAGCCACATTAGGCACCTTCGGGTAACCTTTTGGCCTTAACTTTGACCTTACGCACCGCAGACTTTATGCACCACAGACTCGTTCCCAATAGCGTT